CATCTAAATTAATACTTTTAACTTTCTCTAACTCAGAAATACCATATTTTATATGGGTAATTTGTAAAAATTCTATACTGATTGATCCTTACATTATAGTACAGAAGACATCTAAAATTTCAAAATTTGCACAGAACTTGTGCAAACCATTTACGTATCTGAGAAGTTATATTATATTGACTTTTTCCACTTTATAATATTGAGAATTTTGTTATGTGGGATTCAGACTTAGGGTCATTATCAAGGTAGCATTTCATCTTTCTGTTCATAGTTTTACTCATATTGTTCTACTGACTTGGAAGTTTTTGGGGTTTAGATTAACAGGACTAATTTGCAAAGGTCGGCACTGAAACAGATTTGCTTTTGTTTGCTTTGCACATAAACACATATTAAAATACATAAATATATACATAGAAACACACATTTGTATACATAGACACACCCATGTATCACTGTAAGACAGCAAAATACACTTCGTGATTTTTTTTAGCATTTATTTACTCACTGGAAGCATGATCTGCTTTCCAGAGAACACAGTATAAACAGTCTGGCTCACAGTTACCTCATAATGATCTGCTCATCCTGCCCTTGCTTGTTGATCTATACTTACCACATGCCTGTGTGTAGAATCAGTACTTTTGAAGTTGTATTCTCTAAAGTAAATTGGCAGTGTAGCCTTTCTAGTTAGATGGATAGGTTTGTTTTAAATTACTGTTCCTAAGGTAGGGAAGGAACATGGCAGAGATTTTTATTACAGAATTCCATATTCTTTTCCTGTCTCAAGTTTATTAATGATCTAAGGATAGTTGATACATGTAAAAGATACTAAACATTTTTCTTTATATAGAAAGGTGTCTATGTTGGTCCATTAAACTCAGGCTTATGAGACATGGAACTTAATTTTTTTCTATAAACAAATTCTCTTCTGTAATTCTCTTTTGTGCCTTCTTTCTAACAAGTGTGGAAAAATTAATCTCAATCAGTGATACCTCCTCCAAATTGCTTCTAAATTCTAGAGGACTTTCAGAGTGCAAAGATAAGAGATGGGAGAGTTGGAGACATTTTATCCTTATTGTCACCACTGGGATGTCCCATTTCCCTACCTGATCACTGGTTACTGGTTCCGCTAGGTCTCTGCAGCATCCATCCTTGTTTCTACTTCAAAGCCTTTTCAAAGCCTGTCTGTTCTCTGGATCTCGTCCATGTTCCTCTTGTACACATATGAAATACTATTCTCAGCTAATCCACAGGAAACTTGGAGAGGTTATCACAGACTTGACTGTGTAAACACACTGTGTGCACACCTCTTCTTCTCTTGAGCCTTGTGGGATCTCTTGCTACTTCCTTGAGCTCTACCCAAGAATGAAGATAGGATTTTTCACAGATGTTTTATCCCTAAACCTCCTGGGATTCAGTCATTTTTCCCCCTTCCTTAAGGACCCTCTTTTTACCCCTTTCTGCTGATGGCACTCTTGCTTTAATCTCAATCCTTCCTAATAATTGGCTGGTTAGAGAGTATGGAAGCCTTGCTCTTAATTATCATACTTTCAGGGTTTTTTTCTTATGCTAGGGTCAAGGTTTTGAATTCTTTTTTCATTGTGACTTGGTATGTCATTGCTTCCTTAACATAGTGAATGTGGAATGTACTTCCCACCTGGATTGGGGAAAATTTTTAAACACAAAGTAAGGGGGAGGGAAGGATATTTATTTGATGTTGAAAATGTTATCCCATCCGACTTGTATTTTATATTGTGAATCTTCTGGATGCTTCAAAGCTATTGGAAAACTATTTTTTAGTGAACATAAGGTGTGGAACTCTTAAAATCTCTACTTAGGAACTCAGGATTCAGATTTAATGTTTCATAGGTATGTATTTGGTATTTTTATCACTTTCTTTGGAAAGTAGGGGGACGGTTGGGAGGAGGGGAATTTTTTTTCTTTTTCTTCTTCTTTTTTGAACTTTTTACTATGGGAAATGCCAAACATACACAAAATTAGAAAACAATAGTATAATAACTCTCCATGTACCTATCATCCAGCTTCAACAACGATCAACTCATGACTAATCTTGTTTCATCTACAATCCTACTCCTTACCCCTTCCCTGACACTGTATTCTTTTTAAGTTTATGCCATTTTAATGATGGATAAATAAATGTCCAACTATTCTGGTCTCCTCGCTTAGTCCAGAATCCAAAATTCCATTCACTTAATACCTAATAGAGTGCTCATGCTGTGACAGTCCCAGCCTGGGGTCAGCATATATAGAATGCAACATAAACTCTTCGAAAAGTTCTCATTAAATGGTAGTTAGTTATACAAGGATGTAATTTCTCACTTCTCTTTACAACTTTCTAATATCTTTTCATCACATTACCCTAGCTTTATTGGGGGAAAAAAGCCCTAAGCCATCTGCTGGTCCTCCCTCCCACCCCCTTTGTTTTACTGAACTCATCTTCCACTTTCAACCTGCCTCACCACACCCAACTATGTCAGCCTCCTAATAATTACCAAAACATTTTCTTTTTGCTCCCACTTCAAAATCTTTGTACTTGAGATTCTCTTTGTAACGCTTTCCCCTCACATACCTGCATAGCCTATTCATTCACCTCTTTAAAATCTTCTCTACCCTCAATTCCTTTCCAAAGTATGTCCTAACCTTTAGATATTTGTCCTTAGTCACTTTCTTGACTACTATTTATGGAGGTTTTGAAGGATCCACTTGTTCTGTTTTGTCTTAAGAACTTAATACAGGGGCATCTCGGTGGCTCAATCAAGCATCCGATTCTTGATTTCAGCTCAGGTCATGATCTCAGGGTTGTGAGATTGAGCCCCACGTTGGGCTCAATGCTCAGTGGGTGTCTGCTTGAGATTCTCTCCTCCCTCTGCCCCTTTCCCCTGCTCTCTCTCTCTAAAAGAAATAAATAAATCTTTTAAAAAAAGAATTCAATATAAAATTTATTTATTGAAAAGATAACAAATGGCTTAGGAACAACTCAGCCTTCTGCAAAATTAATTTACTTAACAGTTTGGCAATATACACCAAAATTATTCCCAAGAGGATGCTTAAATATTAATGAGATAATTATTATGATACTCTTCATGATAATCATTCAGAATCATAAGAAACTACATGTTTTCCTTCGGTGATCACTGGTGTTTTGTGCCAAATGCCAGCATGCCTGTCAAAGTAGAACTATGATTTTGAAAAAATAGTGGCTAATCATTTTCACCACTGCAAATCTTAACACTTTAATACTGTTTACCCCCTTCTGAATGGTAATTGATGGCTTAGGTACCACTTCTCCACCAGCAAGTTAAGTTAGGTTTTTTTGAGCATGCATCCTTTAAAATCTTGCTCTAGGTTCTTCGCCTCTGTCTACTTGATTTGAATCTGTTTCACTCAGATTTAGTTCTTCGGAATACCTTGTCTGGCAATATTCTCCGTCACTGCTCGGGAAGGAACTATACACCTATATAACTCCTAATCAGCATTAAGAGATTTAAATATGTTCATATCCTTTTATTTCATTTTTGGGAATGTAGCCTAACAAATGTAGCACATGTAGATGCATACACACAAATCTCTGGGTGATGGAAATTATGAGGTAATTTTCTGTTTCTCATTCTTTTGTATTCTTTTTTTAATACTCACATACTTCCTCCCTTTTTTGCCTTTTTTTTTCTACTTCCCCCAGTACTTCACTGCTTTATTTCTCTTGGTATTAAAATCACAGATAGAGGCAGAGAGTATATGAGAAATCATTGTGTCTTCTGCCCAGTGTTGCTGTGAACTTAAAAGTATTCCAAATATTTGGGGTGCCTGGGTGGCTCAGTCAGTTAAGCGTCTGCCTTTGGCTCAGATCATGATCCCAGGGTCCTGGGATCGAGCCCCGTGTCAGGCTCTGTGCTCAGTGGGGAGTCTGCTTCTCCCTCTCCCTCTGTGTTCTCTCTCTTGCTCTCTCTCAAATAAAGTCTTAAAAAAAAAGTATTCCAAAAAATAAAGTCTATTTTATAATAAAAATAAGCAAATAAATACTATGGGACTTTAAAAAGAAGAGGCTAAGTTTTTATTGGGATAATATTTGGTTTATAGTAGGAACTCAATAGATGTTTGTTCAATAATTTTATTGCTTTGACTAAGCAAAGGTTCTTCCTTGTATAAGAAAATAGGCTCTTGTATTTTTTTTCTTTGTATTTTAAGACTATATTCTACCGCTTAAGAATTGGGGAAACTACTGAAGTATCCAAGAAAATGAAATATTTCTTTGGATAAATGAAATATTTCAGAAACTAGAAGTGTTTTACGTTAAAAATGCATATTTATGCCTTTTAATTGATATGAAACTATTAAATAGACTCTCAAAGAATCTTGACGTTTGTTTTAATAAAAATTCCTCCCCAAATTATAGGAACTGCGTCAAATTAATTTCTTTGTTAATTGGAGATGATTGAAATGTCCTGAATCCCGAGCATGTGTCATGGAATTGTCACTGCTCCTTACTGTACTCGTACTGCTAAGGTGCAGCTGGTTGTTTATTTCTTTTACGCTGATATCTGTCATGACGAAATTCCTGTAGATACTTTTTAAAGTGTACTCTTAATTGGAGATCTTTCTTACTCCTAAGAAATTCAGCCTTTCGGGGTGCCTGGGTGGCTCAGTCGTTGAGCGTCTGCCTTTGGCTCAGGTCATGATCTCAGGGTCCTGGGATCAAGCCCCGCATCGGGCTCTCTGCTCGGTGGGGAGCTTGCTTCTCCCACTTCCCCTTCCTTGTGCTCCCTCTACCACTGTGTCTCTCTCTGTCAAATAAATAAAATCTTTAAAACAAACAAACAAACAAATTCAGCCTTTCTTGTTCATTAATTATTTGAATCGCCTTTGTGCATTAAACATCATATTTTATGTTAAAATTCAACACAGTGTCCAGGATGGTTGCAACCATGTGAATTTTTCCACGGCATGGGTTAAAGTTGTTTAAATATGTTTTCTTTCTCCTACAGTGGCTCCCCCTGGAAGTCCGGGGCCCATTACTCGGCATGGGTCCTATGACAGTTTAGCTTCTGACCACAGTGGACAGGAAGATGAAGAATGGCTTTCTCAGGTAAAACTCTAAAATGATTGGCCTATTAAAGTAAAAGAAAACAGAAATCCATTGTCTGTGTTTATTCTTCAATTCTAAAAACCTAAAAATTATTTTCCTTAGAAGAAAATGGGCAGAATTGGGAACTCTTTGTGGGATCACCAAGAATTAATCAGTTGTCTTGCCATACGAAGAATTTCTTATAAATACTGCTGCAAGGATACATATACGTATATTTTATATGTATTGTACATGTGTGTGTGTGTGTGTGTGTACATTAGCTTTCATACAGAAGGCATAAAATATGCATAGCTTTCAAACAATCCATGTATATCCCTTAGAACCTTTGGGTTCTAGATGGACTGTTTGGATTAAAATGAGAATTGGCCTTGTTGAAACCGTGAAGCCTTTCAACAATGTGTGGGCTATGTTTTGTGGAGCCAACATTTTCTGAAGATTGGGCCCATATTCGGATTAGAAGAGGTCAGCCTTCTGCTCTGCACACGTCCTGATTGTGCCCAGCTGGGTTCCTTTCCTCGGCTCCCGTCCTGCTGCCTCCAGTGGTCTCTCAGCCAGGCCTGTGACAGCTCCAGCTGACCCTTCCTCCCCTTGCCAGGTGAGGCTGTCTTCATCGCAAGGGCTTTGAAATAAAAGATACTTGGGCACATTTCAAAATGATGAGATTACGAATGACTTCATTACAAATGCTGTTATGTCTGCCTCAAGTCTGACATCACTTGGTGAAGTTAATGACCTGTCTCAGATTACCAATCCAAGCGGCTTTCATCAGACAGGTGCCTCCGTGGAGGTTCGTGCAGTTTCCCTGCTTTCTCGGGGAGGGTAGCCTGACAAACTAAAGGGAATCTGGAAGCCGGAGCGTCAAATTATGTGTAGGTGACATGCGTTTCATTACACCTGAAGCACTCACGGGAAGCTCCTTGAAGGAGGGTCAATGCTTCGATTCCTGGTCTGTGGAGGTGCCTCCTTTCTTGAGGATACCATGTAAAGTAAAGAAAAAAAAAATGCTGGCAAAGAAACCACTGTCCTTCACTTCAACTTTTCAGTTACAAGAAGGGGTAATGTGTGCTGTCAGTGTGGAAGTATAGACAATATGTTTGTACCGTACACACTAGGAGCGTGAATAGGAACATCTGGTCATTGCCTCAGTGAAACTCTATAGGCATCTGTTTACCTCTCGGCTCTGTGACACGGATGGTTCTGAGCTTAAAATACACAGAATGCTCTATCCGTGGCCTAATTTACATTGCAGGATGCAACTACTTGAATCAGAAATCGCTGTCCTAAATCTGAGTATTTTTTGCCCTGTGATTAGTGGGAGTGCGAATGTTGTTCCAAGACCATGATGCTCTTGCCCTTTAGGACTTGCCAAACACAGAGCTGCACTCTGTGAACCTTTTCAGTTGTGTTTCGTTAAGAATTGATCACCGCAATCAGAGAAATGTGATTAAATATGAAAGAACTCAGGGCAAAACTAAGGCACATGGGAAGTCAGTTCCATTAAGTGTATATACAGACGTGGAGGTAGCAGTTAAAGACTTCGAGAGGTGGTCTTTCACCAAACGTTTGCATATTTAGTCTCTTCATCAAGTTGCTCATGTATAAAATCATATGATATGTTTATCTTCAGGTTTCATTCTGTATCCTCTACTCTCTGCTCTGTCTTTAAAGTCTTTAATATTGGCACCATTCCCTATCCCCTCTATAGAGCATGAAATTCATAAACCTTTTAGTATTACTGTTTTGCAGCACTTAAAATACCTGTGTCAATGTTCATGGTAGTGGAGGAAACGTTCTAATTAAATAATGGTGTTTTGAAGACAAATCTAGCCTGAGAGAAAGTATATAATACTCTCTTCATTTAAAAGTTGACTTGGGGGGATTTTGAGGGTAGCATAGTAAATATTTACTGGAAAAAACTGGCTTTGGGTGTTGAAAATTATTTCAGACCTTTTCTTTTCCTTGGATAGTTTAAGAACAACTTCAAGTTTGTCATGAGCTTGATCCTCAGTGAAGGAATTACTTTAATCTGTGGATTGATAGGTGTAGTATTCAATGCATGCCCACAAAGTGGTAAGTACTGTCTAGAATGAAAAAACGTAGTTCCTAGGGAGTTGATGCTAGTTATATGAGGCAGGCAACTGGTCCTTTTACTCTTTGACTTTCGTGTTGTATATGTGTGAACTGTGTGTATGTGTGTGCATGTGCATGCTCACACCCATATAAATACACACACACAATAAATTTTTTGTTTATTTTGGTAAAAATCAGTGGAGGGATGTAGAGAATGTGTATATAGGCTGTGACTATCATTGCCTTTTGATTGTGGATGCCCCGTACCTCTCCTGCTTGGTTAAGATGGGCTTGGAGGGTGTTCAGAGACAGGATGGGGGGGATCACGAAAGGCTCTTCAAAGGAGGTCATAAGACATTTAAATCATGATTCGTAATCTGTTCCAGGTAGAAATTGTAACACACACTGGACCCCACAGACGTCTGTGGATGGGTCCCCAGTTCCAGTTCAAAACCATCCATCCCTCAGGCCAAACCACAGTCATATCATCCAGTTCATCTGTGTTGCAGTCTCACGGTCCAAGTGATACTCCACAGCCCCTTTTGGATTTTGATACAGATGATCTTGATCTCAACAGTCTCAGGTAAGAAATAAGAACTAGGGAGTGATTTGACTAGATTAATATATGCATTTTTAATGACCATCTTAGCTAATATTGACATTTTCCCTTTTGGCACAGTTTTATGGTGCAAAATACATCCACTGTAGCTTGTGATTCATTATTACTGCTGGGGGTCTTATGTGGGATCTCCTTACATTCAATAAATATTTGTGTTTCAGATTGTATTTCCCCAAATCTAATATTCAGTGCATTTTTTTTTAAAAATCTCATTTTATGCTGCTTTCCTCATATTTATAACTGCTTAAAGTCTGAGGGTGCCCTCCTTTCCTGATCTTACTGACACTTCATCTTTCAACTAACCTTCGTCTAGATCCTGCTTATTCCTTCTTTTAGGCTTTAAAAAGTTTTTGGATGAGAAAGAATTGATATAAATTCACTTACAGTTTATCATATATATATAATCATCATATATATTCTCTGACCCTCACTTGTAAGAATCATAGTACAAGGTTTACAGAATATGCTTTTTATTATTAAAGATTTTTTTCTAATGCAGCTGAGAACTTTTTGACTTTTGTAGTCTCCGGTTTGCTTACCAGTTTAATTTGTTACATCCAGCCCTGACACATTCTGGTATAACAATGAAAGGCTCAGTCTAATGCAGTGTAATCTCCCTTTTTTTTTTTTTTTTTAAAGATTTTATTTATTTGACAGAGAGAGAGACAGTGAGAGAGGGAACACGAGCAGGGGCAGAGGCAGAGGGAGAAGCAGGCTTCCTGCCGAGCAGGGAGCCTGACGTGGGGCTCGATCCCAGGACCCTGGGACCATGACCTGAGCTGAAGGCAGATGCTTAACGACTGAGCCACCCAGGCGCCCCTGTAATCTCCCTTTCTTTGTCTTCTCTTATAAAAAATTCTGTAATGTATCTTACTTGAATCTAAAATAGACCTTTTTCTTACATCTCTTTAAAAATTATGGAAAAATGTGTCCCAATTATATATTGGAAATATATTTTTATATATCTTTTTGTCAGTATCTGTTTGTCTAACAATGCAAAAGCTGTTGCAGAGGTAGATTAGGCCTAGATGTTTCTTCCTTAAGAGTAATTCATGGGGTGCCTGGCTGGCTCAGTTGGTAGAGCATGGGACTCCTGATCTTGGGGTCGTGAGTTCAACTGCACAGTGGGTGTAGAGCTTGCTTTAAAAATAAAAGAGTAATTCATGTAATGGAAGATATCTCCTATAATACCTTTTTCAGTGTCTTAATTTTTTGTTTGTTTGCTTTGTACTTTATTTCTTCCATACATTTTTGCTTTTTTTTTTTTTTTTTTAAACATAGCATGTCTTCCAGGTTTTCAGAAGTGGAACTTTCCCTCCAAGATGTCAGGCAATAGTGACAATACTGAGTACTAGACCAGTTTTCACTGGTACCAACTGTAAAATGTAATCTGGTGTCGATAGTCCATTTTCAGGAAGTTGTCAGTCCTCAACTTAATGATTCAGCATGTAGTCATTCATGTTTATAAGTCATTTGGGTACTCAGATGTTAATAATAAGGCATTTAAAATAGACAACCCATAAAACTATGTTTATTCTCTTGATTGAACTATTCACAAGATCCTTTTTTTCTTTTTTTCCTCTGATGACTGTCACCTGGTACTATAATAAGCCCTTGTCCCTCTTCTTTGGAGGATAGCTCTAGTCTCCTATATATGCCGCTCTGTTCCTTTGCTTTGTGACCTCCAGCTTGCTTAATGACTCTTTACTTCAGACATAGCCCTTCATCTAAGAGCTCTCTAACTTGCTTCTTCAGACAGCTATTGTCCTAAATTCATTCTAGAATGTTCCTCAGGGGCTTTCCTTTTTCTTATGCTAAAGCATTCCCAGTATTTGTCATTTAAATGATTTTAAACTGTATATATTTGATTAGAATATTGTCCTTTTTTGTTTTTTATTTTTTAAATAGGCTCCACACCCAGCATGGGGCCTGAACTCACGACCCCAAGATCAAGACCTGGGCTGAGACCAAGAGTCAGATGCTTACTGAATGAGCCACCCAGGCGCCCCAAATATTGTCCTGTTTATTGGATACAGCTAAACTTTAGATACCTTTATTGGGGGTCACAGGCTTATACATTTGTTTTGATTATCTTGTAATTTATATTTAAAAATCTGAGCATATAGGCCCTTGGTTAAAACCTTAACTTCCATTAGAACACGGTTTTGATGGGAAATTCAGATTTGACTTACATCATTTGAATTATAGTGGCCTCTTTAGTACCATTTCCTGCCCAGCATCCAATTAGAAATCCAGCTATTTGTATTCTCTTCATTCCTGTTTTCCTATTGCTCTGAGTGCTTCACCTCTATTTCGTCTACATTTCTTTAGGCTTATGTACAATGGTACTATGGCTGTTAGCCTTACTTTCTCCTTCAAACTGTAAAAAAAAAAACTTTATTTATATGTTTTTGATTCAGCTGACCCTTTACACCTGGTACTCTGTCCTGTACTGCATAAGATATCACGAAGAATGATGTGGTGCTGTGATATTCTGCCTCCCTATATCCTAACCTAAGTGGGGAGCAGGCAGGTATAGAGTTGACTGTCATGTCCATAAGGGAATCAGGGATGGCCTAAACTCATGGCAGCTCCTTACTTGGAGCAGGGATTTAAACTGTAAAAAAGGTCAATGAAATATTTATTTTTAGATCTGAGAAAGAGATCATGTAAAAGAAGCTAAGATACAAAGTCTAGTTTTCTACTCAAGATTAGCTCCTTTTACTTTATTATTTTATTTTTTCATCTAGTTATTTAACACATCCATCAGCTCACATATTTAGTATATATGTGTTGTGATTATTTTAGTGAGGCTCTTTCATTGAATTTCAGTTATGTAATACAGTGTCATCAACCATAGTCATTGTGTTATTCATTTGATCCTCAGACCTTATTCATGTTATTTTTTTTTCAGTGATCCATAATTCACCTAACATAAAATTCACTGTATAATTCAGCAGTTTTTAGTATATTCACTATGTTGGGCAGTATCCCCCCTATCCAATTCCAGAACATTTCCATCACCTCTACCAGTTTGTTTTTATTTTTGTCATTTTTATTATGGAAAAATTTCAAACATATATAAACATATTTAAAGTTAAAGAAAATAATAGGATAAGCCCCCGTGTGTCTGTTGCCAGCTTCAGCACATCCATTCATGGCCAGCCTTGTTTCACCTCACCCGCAACTCTGGATTATTCAGAAACCCTGATATAGATTGAATTAATAACAGGAAATTTATTAGTTCACTTAAGTTGTTTAGACCGGGAGGGGGCTTTACTTTGGATGAACTGACCATATCTAACTGTCTAGCTTCTTCTTTCTGTTAAGAACCAGAAAACATCTTCTCCAGACATTTCAAATAAACAGCTCCTCTTTTCTCACTGGCCCAAATTTGCTTAGGCCTACCCATCCTGGAGCTAATTAATCTCTGCCATGAGCTGATGGGATTACCATGACTGGTATAGCAAAATCAGCTGGGGTAGAACAAAGATTAGGTGGTATGTGATGTCTGTGATGTCCGCAATAGCAGCGACAAGAGTCTTTGTTCTCAGTACTTTAGGCTTCCAGCGCTGGATCAAATGCATTGTCCTTCACCTGCCTCCTGGTTCTTTTTTTTCACACAACAAATACACAAACATTTAAACCATGCTTTCAGGAACTACTCTTTTTCTGCAGTCTATTCTTGGCATTTCAGGCTTCTATAATCTGTCCCATGGCGTTCATCAACCTCTTCTCACCCACCAGGATCCACTGGGAACTCTAAGCTTCAGCCAAATCATGCTCCTCAAGCTGCCCTGCATTTGTCAGGCTTAGTTACCAATCCAAGGGTCTGCTTGTTTCATTCTATGCTTAAGGAACACTTCTTGCTCCTCTGCATATATACATATCCTATTACTGCATACATATCCAATTCCTATTCCACCTCCATAAGATCTTCCCAGTCTGCTGTGGACCATGTATTCATTACCCCGTTTTCTCATTCTGAGCTTTAATTGCCTGTTTCATTCATTTTCACACTTTTCTTTTGCATCAGTCATGAATGTCCATGTGCTAGACCACATATCCACACATAGACCTTCTAGTTTATGTTTTGTTTCTGCCTGTCCCTAGAATAATACTGACACATGTTTAATATTCAGCAAATACTCATTGAATGAAAGACCAAAAATGCATGCTTATATTGCTATAACAGGTCTTTTTTTCCTCTAAGTTGTATGGGGGTCTCAGATTTTCTAGTCATACAGATTTTTTTATGTTAATAGTATTTATCTAATACAGCTGGAGAGAGACTCTTGGCACTTATAGATTTATCATTCCTAAGCAACTTGAAATTATATGTAGTAAATTGCAGTTTTGCTGAGACTCTAATTGATTCTTACATGCTAATTGGTAATTTTATGGAGGTAACTCAGTTAGATAATAGTGATCCTAGCTAAACCTGTGGCCCCCACATTCCAACACAGCTTTGTTTTCCTATGCTTCTTGTCATATATAAAGTAACTTTCATTCAGGATATAAGGGAGTTCCTCAAGATTTTGTATCTAGTATATGCTGCCTTTTATGGCAGGTTTTACTAGCTATGGTGCTATTCATCAATTTGAAGAGTGTCAAAACTCTTCAGATCTGTCCCTTGGAAATGTCAAAGGTTTTGGTATAAAGTATTTTGTTTCCTTTCCCGTTCTACTAAATTTATCCCTTTCAATTAATGTCAATTTTTCAACCCCTTACTTAAAATCTATTGAGTAATTTACAAAGAGGAGAAGAAGTCTGGAGTGTAGGGAATGTTTGCAGTGCGTTAGCTTTGTGCAGGAATTAGGGACCGCAGTTCCCCTCTTTGTCTTATTTTAGAATGAATGGTTCTTTAATGGATTGGCCTAATCCAGCATTCCTGATTTAAGGTCTGTTGTAGCACGCGACCGTTTTGATGCTGGTAACATATGTGAATTAAATTAAATTGCCTTGCAGGATCCAGCCGGTCCGCTCTGACCCAGTCAGCATGCCAGGGTCATCCCGTCCAGTTTCTGATCGAAGGGGAATTTCCACCGTGATTGATGCTGCCTCAGGTAGAAAACCACCTCCAAAATGTGTGCTGGATAGTTCTGTACATTTTCAATTTCTTTTCCTGCGCAATGGAGAGAATGATATTTTTTGCCTTCCTCTTTTTGTTTGTTTGTTTGTTTGTTTTGGGATGTGCGTGCATGCTGTGCATGCATACGTGTATGTGTTTGTTAAAACAGTACCGTGCCTACATTTGTTGCTAAACAATGCCATGCATTTAAATATTGTTAAGGTTGTGAATGATGCGATGGGGTTGGCACTTGATTAAATGTAATGAACACAGTATTGAAGGCTACAGGGTTGATGACTGTTTTGCCTTTGATCTCTCAAATGTGGAGAAGCAACCTTGACAGAGAACGTAAATACAATATATGGATTCAATTTACTCAACCTGTTGAGTATCAAAATGCCTGATCTGTGGAAGTAGAGTCCAAATGCTGTAGCTTAAGTGGTTTTATTATTGAAAGCATAAAGTTTAGAAATTCATTAACTTAACTTTAGTCTATCTATCACAGTTATTAACCTCCTCTCCTTGGAACCAAGCCATGAATATGTATCATTAGTACCTGGGAGTAGATCTTTGCCTCTGTAGGTGATAGTTGCTACATTAGTATTGTCAAACTGTTTTCTGCCGCATCTGCCAAATCATAGACCTGTTTATAGTAATACATTTTTCATCTCTACATGTATTGATAAAATAAGGACAGTGATGCTTTCTGTTATGGTGTAGCTGCAGAGCATCTGAAGAGAGCATACAGCAGGGTTTCATCAAGAAAAAGTCTCTTATAAGTAGAATTATTAAATACTTGGCATTAGTCAAACAGTTGAGTCAGAGAGGATTTTAATCTATAGCAATTTCAAAATCCCCAGAGACCGCTGATTTGATTGAGGCTTAAACTGTGAAAGAAAATGGAAACAAACACAAAACTGATTTGTGAAGGTCACTTTTGAAAGACCAAAGCTCTGTTTCTGATTCTGTGTCTGGATGTGTTTTGAAGTTTGAAAGCTAAACGGTTTTGTACGTTTTCTTAGCTTTCTGATTTTTTTATCAGTGGATTGTACCTGGTGTCTGATTTACCTGTCCACATCGAGGGCTGTGCCTTCATTTTTAATGTAGACTCTTACTTTAGAAAGCTCATACTTGTCCCTCTGCTTTCTCTTGGCAACCATGGTTCGTCCCCTGGAAACAAGCACAGAAATGTGTGAAGCCTTTATCCTTGCTTCCCTGCATTGAAAGAAATATTGAGATGGGAGACTTAAACAATACATCTTTTTGATAGTTTCAATCTGAGAATGCTAACAGATCCTGCTCATCTGGAATTACCATTTAACCATCGTGAATCCTGGAAGCGATGTATTGTAACCTAAAGTATTTGATTCAAGATTACAGTAGTAGCCTTTGTTGGGGTTTTTTTTAACATTCTTAAACTGCCATATTATGAATGTCTTAGAGTCAAGTGACGCCCAGTCAAGTGAAACACATGTCCCTAAAGCAGTTATTGCTGTTATTAGAAGTTGCCATATTCAGCTCTCTGCTCTGAGGTAATACTCCATATTTATCATGTAGCACTATCTCAGTTTTAGCTCTTTGTGAAGTTACATCTCATGCCACAGAGAGGAGTTTCATTGAGCTATTGGCAACTGTCATTTGACTTAAATCTGCTGGGAGAAGAGTTTTTAAATTGATGCTTGAAAAAGGAACTAGATCTTTGCCCTTGATTGACCTACATTTGCATCAGAGACACATTGTAGGAGATCCTAGGATATCGTTCTACAGCTGTGAGCCTCTGCCCGAAAGTACTAATCTTTTGAGTAGAGAAAGGACTTCTTGGTGACTAAGCTGTTGTTATTTTTCTAAGCCTATTTTCATTCCAGAAAGCCATAGTTCCTTTGAGACAGAATAATGAAATGTGTGTGCTGCTCTCTCTAACTTTGAGCTAAAGAAACCCTATAGATGAGGAATTGGACTGTTACGAATAATTCTCTACTTCTCCAATGGTTTGGATCCCTTTTGTTCAACGCATTTTTTTAAGTGAGTGAATAATGTTTTGTTGGGGAAACTTAATCTACTTTATCTGATAGGACCACTGTTGTAACAGACTTTTCTATTGCTATTTAGGAATATCAGAAACTAAATGGTTTGGGTTCCTTATAAAAAGAAGTTAATAATGGGAAAATTCTGCTTTAGATTCTTCAATTAAGAGGAGTCTAATAAATCTGTACAAGTGCTCGTGACCCAGGAAGTGCTTCTCTGATTATGACCCATGCATTGGAGTCAGCTGCATATGGCGAAGATGCTTTTCTGGCGTTTTGATTGCTTTTGCTTCGAGATACGACTACTATGGCCCCTCCTCTTATTGGGCTTCATTGCTTTGTCTTACCTTCACGCAATACAACTCAGTGTATTGCCTTTTTAATTGTTCCTGTGGCACAGTTTATAACCGTCCTTCTGTTCCAGTGACAGCTCTTGTCCTGTCTAAACTAGTGATGGTATCATTACTTTTCATGTGATTACTTTTCAGAGGCATAGAATTTAGAAATTTAATGTGATGTGAGTAAATTGTTTGACAGTTTAACAGTGTTCAAAATGAAAATATTTTATTTATACCTTGGGCCAGCCTGTTATATTTTAGATATCTATATATTTAGCTGGCAGTGTTATTCTATTGAAGCTAAAAGAGATCAGCAGAGCCTTGTACCACTTTTGCTAAGAAATTTTGTTATTATAATTTCTTGATCATCTAGTATATCTGTTCTTCACTCCTTCACATAGAAGAACATTTACTTAAATATGTATGTTTTTACTTATTGACTTCAGTGATTTAGGCATGACATAAATCCTATGCCTTTAGATACCTATGAACCAACGTCTTACTGTCTCTTTATAAATATGTGTATTTAGACTGGCAGATCTATAACTGCTTTCTAAGTGGATGTCATTCCCATAACATCTGACCTTTGGTGATTCAAAAGGGTACTATCCTACCTAAAATTTTGAGTTTAGATAATTATGAGATGTTCCCTTCTTGACTAAGAAGAAGACCATTCTGGAAAGATACTTTATAGGACTTTACCCTTATACACAGGCTACCCAGAACAAAGGAGATTTGAAGGAACCATTCCATTTTTCATTAACATCAGTGTCTCTGAATCATAGATAACATTTCTAGACAAAATACTTTTTTTCTCTGTACATTCCTTTTGGTTAGGTATCTAAGAATTTCTTCCCATTGTTTGTTCTTTAACATGTGTCCTTTTGATAAATGTGTCGGACCTTTGAAGAGAAAGTAGAAAGATAGCTGTCCATGCTCCATTCAAACTTTGTTTCCCACCTTGGTGACTGATCCTCTTGTTCCCAGACTTGTGAGCTGTACCTGTTGGGTAACTTAATAACAACTCTAAGGTCGCTTTTGAGTCATCCAGACAGAAAGCCTAGAAAGATCTAGTTCATCCTAAGTTTGTTTCTCCTGGTTTGTGGTTTTACTATGGAAATTGATGTTTACCAAGAAAGAACTCAAAGCAACTGAGATTGAAAGACAGACTTATGCCTGACTCATGCAGAGAGCAGACATCTTTGTCAAACTCTACTAGAGTAAACATTGTAACATTGAAAGTGTTATTGGAAGTGGTGGGGGCAGCATTTATGTACATTCCTATGGAAGATGATAGTAGGAGAAGGAAAATTGTGACAGTTATGTAAAATGAGTTCTTATCCTTTAGAGCAGGCTTTGATAAATCAGGAATTAGTGTTACAATAAACATTTCTATAAATAGGGACAGAATTCCAGACCTGGTATTTATTGTTGTTCTTGACTCAAGATAAATATTATTTTAGTTGTACAGTTGAAGTAATCTAAATAATTTCTAAGAAACTCGTTAATCCAGGAGATATTTTTCAGCACCTAGTTTTTCTCATTATCAAAATCATTTGTTTACTGAAGAAAATGAGACACTTAAAAACCCAAACAGGTTTGATTTGATTCATTTTCTTTTTTTTTTTTTTTAAGATTTTATTTATTTATTTGAGAGAGAGAATGAGATAGAGAGAGAGCATGAGAGGGGGAAGGGTCAGAGGGAGAAGCAGACTCCCTGCTGAGCAGGGAGCCCCATGCGGGACTTGATCCCGGGACTCCAGGATCATGACCTGAGCCGAAGGCAGTCGCTTAGCCAACTGAGCCACCCAGGCGCCCTTGATTCATTTTCTAATGATCATTTATGCCTGCTTTGACTGATTTTATAATGATCATTTATGCCTCCTTTATGTATTTGGCATTTGGTGCATCGGACATTAAAAAAAAACAAAATAATACTTATTAAAGAAGTATGATTGGGTAGGGAACAAGGAGATTATTTAAGTCAAATCTCTGCTGGAGGGACGTTCATACAGAGGCATGCTTTTATTTTACAGAGATTTTTCTGAAGTGCTGGGGGAAGAATATCCCTAAGGATTATATTTCACTGTATCTACAGTTGTCATTCCAATCTGAGGCAGAAAGACTTAGTCACTGTCTTACAGCCATCAGAGACAGAAGAGATGCTGGTGGTAAGAAACAAAGAGATTTGTAAGAAACACCGTTTAGTCATCCAATGGTGAGGCTACTTAACGCCATGATTTTAAAAGCTAAAATTGAACGAGAGAACCATGACCTTGTAATCATGGCCTTGAACATTTGGCTGAAACTTTCAACAAGCGATGTTTCCTACCCATCCGGTCTTCTCTGCATTTGTAAAAAGAATTTAGGGTTCCCTGTGCAAAAATTTGTTTCACTTTTTCAGGCAGGGATGTGTTCGTTATTCCTTAAAATAATTCTCAGATATAAAGGATATCAAGTTCTTTAGAAATTTTGAGTATTTCTTTGAATACGTGATGTGGTTTTCATTTAGTAGACTTCCAGATATTCTTTGTGATTATAAGGTGACGAAAAGCCCAGGCATACTTGTACCTTGAGTATTCAAAGCCTGTGTGGGATCAGTAAGAGGATTATGGATGAGGGCGAAATTAAAAGAAGGCTTAGTCGTGACCTGTGAACAGTCCCTCAGAGGGGAAAAAGGAGGTCAGTAATTTTACTTTGACACTATTTCCACTGGAAACAGCAAATATTCAAACTCAGATGTTAATATTGGCTTTTTTTTATTAGAAGAGAGGACGTTTATGCATTATTTCAACTTTAATGAACACCTACTTGTCTGTAGAGTGTCAAAAATAAGTGTTAGAGATTAAGAGTATAGGGAAAAGACCTGATTTTGCCCATGAGGAAGGTGATCGGCCACAGCCCTCTCCTTCTGGTTTAAATATTCCTCTCATTCTTCTAATATTTATAGGATGTTAGAGGATGAAATTCAAGTTAACAATGTGGAAAATTTTAGTTGAGCACAATTAAGAAAAAAAAAAAGATTGCCCCACTTGAAGATGAAGAAACTGTAAACAGAGGTAGAAGAAGCTGTTGGGAAAGCTATTTTCTGATGACACATTGCTTCTTTGAATAAATCTTTGTGTCAACTAAAACCTCGCCTTTGCTTTCCCTCTTGCAAGCACCAAGTCCTTGACATGGCTTTAAGTCTTTCCTAAGCATTTTGAGAAGGAATTGATGGAATTCTCCCCACTGTTGATATACTGGGGTACCACATATTTACAAGGGGATTTTTGGCCAAAGGACCCAACTTCTCTTTTTTGTACCTTTATTACTGTATCTTTAATACCAGGCCGAATGTTTATGTAGTCTGTTGCCTGAGACCGTGGTGGCAGAGGGACAATATTGGGGGCAGTATTAGAATTTGTTTAAGTCTGAACCGGGAATTCCATTAGTCTTAGTGACGTTAGTGTCCAACTGTTAGTGCCGCACTATTTTAAATTGTGTCCAAGAGCCTGAGAGGCTTATGCTTATAGGTGCCATCTATAAACTTAGAAAGAAACAAAAGAGTCTCTCTCCATTGAATATGTAAGCCCAGTGAGCAATTAAAAAGCAGCCTGGGACCTCACCCGGGCAACTAGTCGGAACCAGAGCTCATGATAGTCCCCTGGATATTGTTGAAAACTGTCAGAGAAAAGCTAAAGCAAATAATCGAAGGGAAAATAATTGTTCCCCGGAAAAGTCTTGTTTTGGAAAGTTGGTGTCCTGGAAAGAATAGAGACTAGTAACTTACGAATCTTTGGTTCTAGTCTCAACTCTGCCTATAATTACCTGTTTGGTAAATTGCTTCGAAACCCAAGGCTTTCTTCCCATAAGAAATGAAGGAATTGAAGTAGATTATTTTCAAAGCCCTTTTCAGGTTGAAAAATCGATCAATGTGTACTTTGGATCACCTTTGAAGAATTTTTTTAAGTTAAGGAGGGTATAATTTACATATAGCAGAAATGTACATATCTTAATCATACAACTTGATGTGTTTTTATACCTGTATATATCACTACTCAGAACAAACTAGAATATTTCCATCATCCCAGAAAGTTCCCTCATGCCCCTTCCAGTCAATATACTACCTTTGACCTAGAGATTATCACTATGACTTTTATCATCATGAATTAGTTTTGTCTATATTGAACTTCATGTAAATGAAATTATCCTATAGATACTCTTTTGTGTCTGGCTTCTTTTATTTAACTTAATGTTTTTGAGACTCATCCACGTGTTACATGTGACACTAGTTCATTTTTTTACATTGCAATGTAGTATAAATATAACACAGTTTATATATCCATTGTCCTATTGTGTTCAGCTTTTAGCTTTTTATGAATAAAGCTGTTATAAGCTTTCCTGTACAAGTCTTTTTTTGACTATGCATTTTTTTTGCATGTGAATTCATATATTTTGAGCATATACCTAGGACTAGAATTGCTGGCTCACAAAGCAGGCATGTATTTAGCTTTATTAGGAACCTCCAAGAAAGTATTCCAAGATAACTATACCATTTTTCATTCTTAGCAATGTATGAGCAATTCTTGTAAATGTAAACTGTAGTTTTAATTTGCTTTTCTCTGATGAATACTGATATTGGGCATCTTGAATATACTTACTGGCCAGTTAGATATCTTCTTTTGTAATGTACTTCTGTACTTGTGAAGTCTTTCACCAACTTTTATTTGGCCTGTTGTCTTATTGAATTTAAAATATTTAAATATTTTGGATATAGTCTTTTGTCAGATATTTGACAAATATTTCCTTTCAGTTTATTGCCTTTTCACTTTCTTATTGGTATTTTTTGACAGGCAGAAGTCCAGTTTTATTGCTTTTCCTTTTATGTTTTGTGTTTTGCACAAAATTTTTTGCCATTTCACCCAGTCTTGAAGTGATGCTTTAGTCATTGTGTAGTTTTGGCCTTTGCATTTAGGTAAATGATCCTTTTCAAATTATTTTTTATTATGCTATGAGGCAAGGATCAAGATTCAGTTTCTTCCATGCAGTTTCTTCCAGCACTGTTTATCAAAAAGATACACTTTTCTTCCAAAGATTTCATTGATGCCTTTTTAAAAACTTATTTTTCCTGGATTCTCTATTCTGTTCCATTGATATATATGGTGCATGTATCTATCTTTACACCACTATCACACTGTCTTAATTACTGTAGCTTTTTAGTCACCAGCAGTCTAATGCCTTCACTTTTGTTTTTCGTGTATATCTTGGCTATTCTAGGTTCTTTGCATTTCCAAACACATGTGTGTATGTATACGTACCAGTAATTCGTGGCTTGGTCCACTGACCTCTGGAAATCCCCAAGACACTTTGAAGGGGTCTGTGCATGAAAACTATTTTTATAGTAATGCGAAGTTATTATTTTCCTTTCTTTTTTAATACTGTGTTGATATTAAGTACAGATGGTGCAGAAGCAATGGTAGATAAAACTGATGGTGTCGTAGCATAGTAAGAGCAGTGGCACCAAACTGTGCTTCTAGCAAAGGGTATTCACTCACAGTTAAAAAGGAAAAAAACTACAGTCACTTACAGTGTTGGGCACGCCTGGGTGGTGCAGTCAGTTAAGCATCCAACTCTTGGTTTTGGCTCAGGTCATAATATTGGGGTCGTGAGATCAAGCACCGTGTAGGGCTCTGCACTCAGCTCAGAGTCTACTTGAGATTCTCTCTCCCTCTCCCTCTGCCCCTCCCTCCCACACTCTCTCTCTTTCAAGTAAAGAATCTTTAAAAAAAAAAAAAGAATGTCAATGATAACGGGGCACCTGGCTGGCCCAGTCTGTAGAGCCTGCAACTCTTGATCTCAGGGTTGTGAGTTCAAGCCCCATGTTGGGCATGGAGCCTACTTAAAAAAAAAAAAAAAAAAAAGGAATGTCTATGATACAGTCAAAATCATTGACATATGACAATTTTATTAAATTTTGCTGCTTGTGTCCTTCTTTTTAGTATTCTGTATGTCACAGTGGAATTAATGCATGATAGTTGTCTGGACAAAATGACCTTGTGTGATTATTGTGAACTGAACTAGCATCTGTCATGGAATACCATTTTGCAGGAAAGAACAACTGACGAACTTTGTTTATTCAGACTTGAGTATTTTGCAGAAATTTTCTCAAAAATAAACCAAATAAGCCTGTCACGTCAAAGAAAACAACTGACAATATTTGTTACCAATGATAAAACTCATTTTCTTTTTTTAAAGATTTATTTATTTATTTGTCAGAGAGCAAGCACAAGCAGGGAGAGGGGCAGGCAGAGGGAGAAGCAGACTCCCTGCTGAGCCCAGAGCCCGATGCGGGACTTGATCCCAGGACTCTGGGATCGTGACCTAGTCAAACGCAGACGGGTAATGGACTGAGCCACCCAGGCGCCCCTGATAAAACTCATTTTCAATTATAGATTGGAAATTTGGAAACCATGTATCCATATATCTACCACTGCTTAACAGGTTCCCAGTACTTAAAGACATTTCTGATGAGATAGGTGGTGTTAATAACTAGTGTCATACTTTCATATCATATAATAATATAAATCCACATTTGGAAGATCTGAAATATTTTCTGAAAGACCAATTTTATGATATTACAAAAGTATATATGAGTAATAGACTCATTCCAAGTGCAAGAAAGGACAAAGGATTTCCATGTAACAGAGAACAAAAGTTAATTGATATAGTTTCAGGTATAATTGCATCTAACTTGTTAAGTGTCATATCAAAGAAGAATATCCTTAGAATCTGAAAAGGCTCAGGATCTTCATATGCTCCATCCTTTTCCAATTATATTTTTGAATGAGGCCAACTTGTCCTCACATACTTAACCAAAAGAACATATCACAACAGATTGAATGTGTAAGTTGATATGCGAGTCGACCTGTTGTTTATTATAAAAGTTTCTGTCCAAAAAAGTTAAAAATGTCATTTTTCTCAATATTATTTTTTAGTTTGGAAATTTTTAATTAAAAAAGTCATTTATGTTAATACATAGTTTCTTGTCTTTTAATGAGTTAGTACATAAACATTTTCAATGTTGATAGATGTAAAACACATAAACCAAAGCTCTTTGGAGATCTCAATTTTTAAGAGCACAAAGGGGTCCTGACTGAAAAAATGTTTGAAAACCACTGAGATATAAATA